CAAGCCCAGAGGGGCCGGGGCTATGAGCTCCCAAGCCCAGAGGGGCCGGGGCTCAGCCCTGGCAAGCCCTGGCACAAGTTAAGCACTGGAGCCGGCTGTGGAGTCGGCTCCTCACCCGGAGGTGCTGGAGGGGCAGGGGGTGCATAGCCGGCAGCCAGACGGTGGGAGTGCAGGGCTGTGCCTGGAATACTAATGGGGCAGGGGGGAGGTCTGCGCGGGGCTGGGCTGCTCCTTTTTGTCTCCCCGCTACCCCCTGTGGGGAGGAATCTTCCCCTCGTTAATTTCAGCCCTTTGTGGGGCCGGAGCGGGGGAGAGGGGCAGTGCCGGCACAGCACTCGCCAGGACACCAGGCCCTCTCCCCCAGTCCGGCACCCTGGTGCTCTGCTGTGCCATGCTGGTGCCTGGGCATCCTGACGGGATGGGGGCCGCACAGGCCCCTTGTGGTGCAGGAGGGTGAAGGAGCCATAGAGCCTCTGCCCCGATGCCTGTGCCAGTGATGTGGGGACCAGGGAATGGGCACAAAACCAACCCGCGGACTCCACATGCCGACCGCCTGGCTGCTCCGGGGGCCACGCACATCGCTCAGCTCAGAGCGTAGAGCAGGGATCTGTGCTCTCCTAGCTCTGGGCGGGGACTGGGCGTCAGGACTCCTGGATTCTGTCCCCAGCTCTGGGAGGGGCGTGGGGCCTAGTGGGTAGAGCAGGGGGCCTGGGAGCCAGGACTCCAGAATTCTGTCTCCCCAGCTCCGCCACTGACTGGCCTGGGCCCTTGGGCGAGCGTTTCACCTCTGCATGAAATACTGTCCCTGTGCTTGATGCTTCGTTAAAGTCCCTGAACCAGGCAGCACCAGCGCCCCTGCCCTTCCCCGCCAAACCATGCAGTTTTGTAGGGGACCCACTGCCCCCCAACCAGCAGTACTGGCAGCCCTGAGCTGGGTGTGTCCATGGGGCAGCACTGGGGTCGGGGTGGGGCCTGGATAGTGAGCTGGGGGGATAATAGTTTAGGAGCCCCCAGGTCCCCTCCATTCACAGCCAGGGCAGCACAGCCATCGGGAGCTCTGCCAGGCTGAGGCTGGAGGGTGCTGTGGGCCTGCCCCAGATCTATGGGCCCAGAGGCACTGGAATTTATGGGGAAAGGGGGCTCCCAGATTTTAATGGGGGCTGGGAGGGAGGTGTGGGGGGCAGGAATTCCCAAATGCGTTGTGGTCTTCCCACCCCGTGTGGCCAGCTGCAGGAGGAGCCGTAGCCCCAGGGTGCAAGGCCCTCTGGCCATATGGGAGCAGCCTGTCCATGGGGTGGGGTCACAGCTCTGGTGGAAACCACGGCTGCTGAGCCCCAAGAGGGAGAGGGCAGGGCTGGCTCCGCTCTCCATAGCCTGGGCACCCCCTGCTCCCTCAGACTGCTGCCTCCCCAGCACCTCTGTGTCTGCTGCTTCCCCAGCTCTCTCCCTCTCCCCCCCAACACTGCCTTCTCCTGTCCCACCCCACATGGGGCAAGAGCTCCCACTGCTGCAGCCTTGACCAGGGTGTCTGCCCCCCGCACTGCCCTAGTGATGGAACCCCCTCTGGTAATGGGCTTACTCCAGACCCCCCCCACAGCCTCTCTGCCCCATGGCGCAACCCTAACACCATACAGTCTGCTGCTTCCCATGCTCCATGGCAGTGCCCTGCCCTCCTGGAGTCTGCCACCTCCCCTCCTCCCCTGCCCCATGGAGCTGCCCTGCCCCCACAGAGCCTGCCACCTCCTCGCCTCCCCTGCCCCATGGCATTGCCCTCCTTCCACATAGCCTGCCACCTC